CATGCAAGAAGCCTTGAAACAAGCTGAAAGAATGACAATTTAATGGCAACAAAAAGAAACTGAATACCCCCTCCTATCCAGACTGAGCTTGCTTCCCCAGTTCTTAGGCTCACTGAAAGCAGCTGACAAATGCCCATTAGCTTCTATGGGTTTCCAGGTTTTCCTTCTGCTCTGGGCACCGCATTCATAACGTTTTCAGCAGCGGTCTCATTGAACTCACGGATCATTGACTCACAGCTGAAGACTTGGCTTCGCTATTTTTTGCCCTTGGAGGCCAGTTATAAATGGTAGGTCAAGTGCAATTCTACTGAAATGGGATAATCTGGTCAGAGCGGGCAACCTCAGTTTTCACCCAGTGAAGATAATGGACCTTACCTAAAAAAAAAAAAAAACAAGTTAAAAAATAACAAAACATTAATGTTGTTATAAATGTATGGAAGATGTGATTGGAAGTGCTGTGAGTTAGAGATATCAATGTGCTTATAGGCAGACATCTAAAATTAGTGATGTTTTCATGTATGGGGTTTCAGATATTATTTGAGTGCTATTTCAAGGCTAGCTTTCTGCAAGCTAGTTTATTAAACATTAGGGTAAATCCTAAGCAGCTTTTTTAATGCTCATATATTTCAACATCTCTGGGCCAGGGGACAAAAGCAGTATCAGGCCCTTCGATTCTGTAAAGCACTTGCAGAGCCTCACATGAAAGACACTTTGTCAAACAAAGTAACTTCAAGTCTTTGACTTCAGATAACTCCTGTTCATCAAAAAAAAAAAAAAAAAAATCATCCACTGACTTCAGAGGCAGCTTTAGTGAATGCAGGCTTCAGGATGTCATCTTTCAGCAATATTTTTAAGACAGAGCCAGCTCCTGAGGGACACTGAATACTTGCAACTGACTTTGACAATTTCTGCAGGTTCTCAGCTTCTCCTAGGATTTAACCCATTGACAACAGTACTAGGAATGGCATGTTCTCTAGGATGGCTTGAGTCTTGCCTTGAGTATGTGGATGCGTGAACTTTAACACCACCTGTATTTTTCTTGAACATAAAAAACCCCATTTGAACAGGGTCCTGCATACCAGAGTCCCACAGACCTTGCTGCATTGCATGCTGTAACAGAACCCTCTTCTGATTTTGGACAGGTATGGGTAGGGGAAAAGATGCCTTTTCTTTTTTCTCACCACACCAGCTCAGAGCAGTTTATTTCAGTATAAACTGAGGATTTCCCTTTTTCTTTTAATCTTCAAAGAACAGCACATCATGCTACGCTCTGAAACAAAACTAGAATTTCCAAAAGACCCCAGCACACCACACGCTGCAGCCCATCCCGGGCTTGTGCAATGTTTGGTATGAAGCCAGTGGCCAGTGGATAGTCGATACAAAAAGGCTCAGTGTCAAAAGCAGTGTGTGAAGGATTCAGCAAGCAGCTCTCATTAGTGGCCATAGGAGGCCTGGCTACTAAGCCTTCACACCTCTTTAAAGACGTTTCCTCTGTCTTTAACAGACATTTGCACAAATCTACTCCGAAGCTGAGCCCAAGCAGGCAAAGTTTTAGGTGGGGAAAAAAAGTCTTAGTAGTCACAAAGCTGGCCCTTTTCCAGAACGGAGAGCATCTGGCCACCAGCTGTGTTTAGAGGACAGCACGTGTAAGGAACAGATCAGGGGAAAATCTGAGAAACAAGTAGACAGTGCTGAAATTTGTCGTGAAAAGAATACCAGCCTTCCTCTCTGATGTCCAAAACCTTTGCCCTCCTACATTCCCCATCCTTTTCTCTTCCCAGCTCTCAAGCCAATTATTGGAAAATCGCTCATTTAGGAGAACACAGATATCCTTTCTGGGCTTGGGAAGGGATCCAGAGTAAAATACTCCAGTATTTTTACTCCAGTAAAAAGGGATTTTTACATTTTACTCCAGTAAAAAGGCACACTCCAGAGCAAGGCTCTAGAGTAAAAAAACGGGAAGTGTGGAAACTGGCAGCATGTGAGGCAAAGTGGAAATGTGAGGAAATTCTGGAAACTAAGGGAGGACCTTGCAGAGAGGCAGAATGAAAGATGTGCAGTGAGGCAGGAGCAGGATGCCTGTAAGTCCTCAAATATTACAGCAGTGGATTAGTACAAAAAAGACAGATAGAAAGGAACCAAAACAGCCCTTCACTCATTACAGGCTGGAAAGTTATGATTTTTTTTTAAAAAAAAAAAAAAAGAGAAAATCACAAGTTTTTCTAAGGATGTTGTATTTTTTTCCATTTCACCTAGGATGGAGGCAGTATTTTTCCTCAAAATTTGTAAATTATTGCAACTCATACAAAGACTAAAGAAGCAGAAGGCTTTTTATTTTCTAAGATGATAACACCATCTCTCTAAAAAATGCTAATAAAATGCTCTGTTGGAAAGAGCCTTATCTGATAGGGATCGTATTCATGGGCACCCACTGAAACTCACACTGCTTTTTAGATTAAATTGACAACAGCCCTTCCCCCCCAGATTAATGGAATGAAGAATCCATGCATGAAGCCACGTATAATAAAGCTTGGAGAATATGAAACAGGCTAGAAGACAGGATCAGAATTGCAATTGATCTTGATGAAGTGGGGAAATCACCCCAATTAAAGCAGAACAAACTTAATAAAGACAAGTTAAAAGTGTTATACCTCGGAAGGTGTAGTAAACAAACGCACAAATAAAAACGGGAACTCCTAGGAAAGCAGCAATGAATCGCCCAGGAATTAGAAGACAAGACTAGATCAAAGTCAGCCATAGGATGTTCTCGTAGAAAATACTCCGGGATATATTTTCTGATACGCTGTACATAAAACCTCAGGAGACAGTTACTCTGCTTCGCTCGTTACTGCACAAAACCCCTGCTGGAGTACTGCATTTTGGGGAAACTGGGGAATGACAGCAAAAATCAGAGACCTAGAAAATACTAGCAAAGCGACTAGGAAAGACTTATACTAGTGAGGAAAGTAGGGTAATTCCTCTGATATGCAGAATAATCTTGTAAGAAGATCTTGTAAGATCATCTGTTCTTCCTGTCAATCAGGGCTTGAAGGAGAAGTGGCTTTGCTGTAAAGAAATTCCAAACAGTCTCTTAGGAAAACCTTCCGATTATGAGGATAGTGAAGACCATGGACCCCTGTCACTGGGCGTTTCAAAAGCCAGCAAGCTGCATGTTGTCTGGTGTGGTTCAGCTAGACCTCACCCAGCCTCATGGCAGGAGAGGTGGACTCAAATTGCACTTTTCAAACTGTGGTCTGTGGACCCACAAAGGTCCGCTGACTACTCCTAGGAGAAATGAATCGCCAGGGTTACATAGGGGCTGGCTCTTCTGCTGGCAAAAGTGATGGGGGTCACAGGTCAAAAAAGAACTAAAAGTCTTTTTTTTTTTTTTTTTTTTAAGGTTCCTTTCAGCTATAAATCTATGACTTTGGGATTACCAACGTTTTGAAGGGCAAAAGTTATTCCCTTATAAGTAAATAGCCGCAATCCCTTCCTGTAACAGCTTTGAACAATAGCTTCTTGGGGCTTGTTCTCTCCTACTATTTGCTAGCCACCAGCAAAGCAGATCTTGCGGCAGCAGTGGGTGCCACGCTTTCTGTCGTCCTCGGCCATCCAGATTCACAAGGCCCTGAAGGAGCAACGGGGCACACAAGTGCGTGGGCTGACGCAGCTCTGCCAGCAGACGTGCACAGCGTGTGTTTGGAGGCAGCTGCACTCTTGTCGCCAGAGCCTTTGGCTCGCGTTTGCTTTTGAGTGCCCAAACACGGTGACCGCTCAGTTCACATACAGCCATCAAAGGACATATTAAGCCCTTTATCTCTGAAAGAAAACCAGTAAACGTTACCAGATAGTCTCAGCTCAGAAGAACGACTAGCACAGAGTTATCAGTGTTCCCTTCCTAATGAGTCCCAGGCAGGTTCCTACAAATGCTCAAAAGACATCACCTTCCAGGGGCAGCCTGTACACACAGGACTCTACATCCCCTTACCAAAGCAGTTAGTATTTGAGCTAGAAACAGGGGCACAACACTTGTGGCTATCATTATAGCATTAGACACCAGACTGCCTATCCACAGGTATACCTGTGAGCATGTTTCACAGAAAAAGCTATTTTGCCTACGGATATATGCATATGCAACTCCCGATGACTTCGTTGGGCACTACGCATGTACCCAAGGGAAGAATTTTAATAGCATGATTGTTGTCTGAAAAACTTTGCTATTTTAAACCATGAAGCTGCGGGGTGAGGTCTTCTCCTATCTAGTTATCATTGGCATGGAAGGATGGGTTTCCATGGATGAGGAGGCACACCAAAACGACAACAAGCACCCCTGCATGTTGCTGTTGCATCAGCCATGGTCTCACTTCTCTAAGCTCGTAACATTCACACAGAAGTTGCCATTACCTAAATGTTCCAGACAACATCTTGTGTGAACGTCTACTATGAAGAACAAAAAAAGTCTCATTGACTGACCTGCTGTGTCTCTGCGACCTAAATGGCAGTTTTTGTTATTTGTTGCAGAAACTGTAGAGGCTTTAAAAGACCAAGCACACAGGAGGATTTACACCTCAGTCATAAAACAGCTTCCTGCCATGTTGATAACTAAAGCCAAAACTGTGTTCTCTGAGCATGCCAAAAGCTATCAACATGGAAGAGCACCTGACATAGATACTTCAACAAAAGAACAAGAGGTTAACATGCACTGTCAAAATAAAACTTCTAAAGTCTATGAACTGGGCACAGTTACTGAACGGCATGCTAGAAAATAAATATATTAATGTCACTTTGCCATGGAGAAGGCAACATCTTTGCCTACTTCTTGCTGTCATTTTCAGAGATAGAGCATCAGGAATGTTGTGGCACGTAGCAGATTTGTCTTGCTAACAATACGCTGTAAAATAAATGAAGCTTTGACATTAAATCACACCCCCCCATCCCACCCTACCCAAACCCTGCATTGTAGATAACCTATACATTCTCAGGATACAGTGAGAAATCATTCTATAGTACATATTTAATTATAATTTAAAAAAGTCTAACTCGGACACAATCTCTGGCCAGTAGCAAAGTATTGACACATTACTGAAGTAAAGTTCTGTTATTATCCCTTCACTGTAACAAACAGAAATCAGCATCTCAAGAAGGGTCTCCGGGGGTATCATATCACAACCAATCGCACCAAATAAAAAATATGCTAATTTCACAAATGAAGTTTGACAAGGAGTAACATTGCATTTGTCTTTGGCGAAATGAAGCACGAACGTAACATTTCACAGGTACAGTTACCATGCAAATGCATGTTGAGTTTGTCATTGTTTTTAACGCCAAATCACGAGTAGCATGCAGTTCTCCTGCCCCCCTCCCCCCGCAACTACTGTATTAGAGATAGTCTGGGTAATGTACCTCTTTGGTGTAACCATAGCCTGTTAGGCAAGATTATACCACCCTAGGAAAGAATACAAGCAAAACTTGATCATATGTATGTTTACACAATGTACATTTTACCATTTAAAAAAACAAAACATGTTACATAGATTCTCAAACACAGCTCTGTCGAAAATGAAATTTTAAGCTTAAGAAATAGTTTTTAAACTACAAGGCCACCCCATTATTTTTTTATGAACAATTTAAAAAGTTCCCACCCCTAAAAATCTGCCAGTATATTTCCTCCGCTGTAACAGTCTTACCCACTCTCTAATACAGTTGATCTTTGCTCGACAGCAATAACAGTTCTTACATTTCTTAAATGCACGAGATAATGGACTCCAGGACAGATATAGTTCTTAAACGTGTAACACCGGAAAAAAACCGCCTTAAATGATTAATCGGTCGATCTGGGTGTTCCCTGGCACCACCACTCAGGCAGGGGCTTCTGCTGTTCACTGATGTGAGTTCTGGCTTTTGTTGGCATCGAGTTCCACGACCACACGTGTGTGTTCAGAATTTGAGTACAACAGCGATTCACTGGATACTCTTGTACCCCGTTTGCTCAAAACCATGGAGGAGCTTTGTTTTCTGTATTCCCTCATCCAAACGGGGCCACAGCCCCAGCACAGCACCTTTGGCCAACACAGAACTATTTGGATGCGAAGTAGAATTTTTTAATATTTTGTTTTTGTAGTCGTTCAAGCAACTGCAACGGGTTTAAGCAACTGCAACAGCAGACTTAACTTGCAGGGTCTTTATTAGAGGGTTACTGTCTTCCTCAGCTTTATACAATGGAGCCCTTTGAAGAAGACAAATGAATTGACTGAATCCTTGTGGCCAACGTCCTCTGTAAGTCCTGTAGTACATTTTGACCAGACGTTTCTCCGTTCTTGTCATACAACAGCTGTTTGAAAGCTTCGTTTTCAATGAGGACCATCATATTTTTTAGAAAGTAGCCTTCACAGTAGGAGGATAGTTCTGTGACTCCGAGAAACTACAAGAAGTGAAATTAGAGAAAGATAACCATTCTGATAAAATCCACTCGAGAAATACAGTGCATAAGAGATGCACACAAAGAAATACACAAACTAAGCCTTTGAGACAGGCACTTGAGACAGCACTTACAGATACATATGCAGGAGGGGAAGGAGTAATCAAACAGTATTTTGCACTGATGATTCTGGTTGCAATTCCATGTTATAAGGCCATGGCTGTTAAGGAAAAAAAACTTCAGGGCTGAAGCTTTGCTCCCTTGGAAATTAGTGGGAGTTTTACCACAGAGTTCACTAGACCCGTGATTTCATGCTAGAAGTTACACCCTAAAACTATAGGTTTGGGACAACTTACTACAGGCCAAGTTTAATGAGCACCATCCTTAGCAAGGATGGGTTGTGCAAAGTTTCATGCTTCAAGGAATCTTTGGAGGAGAAATGGAGTTTTGCAGAGCATGTGGTTTGGGGCTGTCAGTATCCCCTTATGCTGAACCACATCTGGGGGATAGGCAGTGATACTGTAATGTGCGAGGAAACCTTAACTGTACGAGCAAAAATGTATGAGCAGACCTTAAATGACCCATACTGGTCATTTGATGGGTGACCTGTACTGGTCATCATCCACTGGCTAGATCCTGTGGTCATACACGGAGTATAGCCATGATATTCCACTATAGGTGTACCTATAAGCCATGCAAGTGTAGAGAGCAGCACTCAGCCTACCCTCCTGCCCAGGTAAGCTCCTGCTGGGTCCAAGGACTGAGTAAAGTGGGAACCTTTGGGTGCAAGGTGCAGCCAGAAGGGCCAGAACTGCTGGGGCATTGCATAGCTTTGGGTCTAGACCGGAACAACTACACAGCAGTGTTGCCCACCACCAGTTTAACATCACATTTGGAACTAAGAATAGAAAACACTAAATAAATAAATAAATAAAATTTTAAAAAACCCCAAAACAGATTAGGGCTAGGTAGGATCTGTCTTCTCAGGGAAAATGAATGAATTTAACTCTATTTCAAACCATGCAAGTTTTCATCAAATTATGAGTGCATTATTTTGCAGCTGGATGTGAGAGCATATGTGTGAATCTGTATTCTTCTCTGAAACACCATTCATCCCCATTCATTATTTCAATATATTCACGACGTTGAGGAAATAATGTACTTTTCTTTTCTTTTTCAGATTTGTTCTGAGGCTCAGATTGCAATCTGTGCAAGTGCCGAGTGTTTTAGGCATGTATTTGAAACTCCAAATGATTTTGTTGGGAATTTGAAGGCATTCATGTAAAACACATGATTAGTGGTAACTAATCAATCACCACTATAAATTCCGTTTGCCCAGTTACTTCATTTCTTTCTGGAAGTAAAGGACAGTGACAAAGGTTTTGAAAAATGAAACCCTTAAAGCGATACTAATCAAATGACTGCCTTTGCAGATGTTGCAATTTTAAGAATGGGAAGCCCACAGATGGTTTTAATACACTTGATTCAGCTTTTAAATTGTAAATGTGACCAAATCCAGTCTCACCTTCCTACCAGTACTTCACCTCTTTAACACAGGGTCTCAATCTCTTGTTCCTACAGCTCCTTTTACACAGCTCACCACCCTGCTAAAACACTGTTCTACAACCTAGGCTCCCACCACAGGCAGCTTTCCAAATCTGTGCTCACTTCATGCTATGCTTCCACCAAATCGTATCTTTCTCTCAATCATGATGACAAAGACCGTGGTCTGTGTCTCTCTGCGCTAACCTGCTTGTACATCCCCATCTGGAAAAGCAGGACTCAGCATTGCCTGAGTTCCTGCAGGTGCAGCTGAGCTTGCAAAGTAGCAAGGGCTAGAAATGGTACCTACAACAGGAGCAAGTTACTCAAAACCTGCTCCTGGCTGAAGTGGTGGTTCCTGGCTTCAGTGCCTGATCATATTCCCATCCTCGCTGCAGTCTAACACGAGCTTCTTCCACACTTCAGAGAGCAACATGGAAAGGCAGACGGTTAGCTGGCAAGCTGTGCTCGAACTGCCTGTGAGCTCCCCTGGCTCATCAGGACCATCTGGCCCCTTCCACCACATACCGTTATCTCGTATTCACGTAACAAACAAATGAAGCTGCTGTGTGACGGGAGCACCCTGGGCAGAACGATCTGTGCTCAGATTAATCACCTGCACATCACACAGACCAGCAGCCAAAAGATGGAGTGGCTTCTCTGCTCGGCAGACAGCGTAACAGAGAGGTATCTGAACTAGCTTTAAATATGCTCGTTCAGGTCCTTTCCAGGACCTAGCTACAGCAGTACGAAACTTAGCTCTGGTAATTTACTGGAAGCAGGGTAAATTAGGCCAGGCAGAGCTCTAGTGTGATGTGGCTTAACTAATTCCGCAACTCAAGATTACATTCGCAGCTAGCTTGGCTATCTCTGCAATGCGCTACCCACGTCAGTGCAAACATGGCCCTGGCTGTAAAAGCCTCTCAAGTACACTGTTTCCACTGACTCCGCTGGGAGATGCAGGCACAGAAAACTTGCAGGCTGGGGCCCTGGCAGGCAAACAAGGAGCTGGATTTAGCCACTGGGTTGGTTCAGTCCCAGTATTGGCAGTGTACAAGTTCCTCATACAGGTCTAAAGCTCGGTGTAAGAACATTCTTCAGTAAGGATGTAAATAACAGCCGCATTTCACAATTTGAAGAAAACGCGTGATTTTAAAACAGTATTATTAATTTTACTTTTAGTAACAGTAATACAAATCGAGAAGTTCTCACGTAAGCTAAAGATAAATCAAATATTTTTCAAAAGATTCCTGCACTGCTGGTTTCTTTTTTTCCTATTACAATAAATAGACCTGCAGATATACCTCATTTCTTATTCATTTCATAGGTGGAACTTTACGCTGTTTCAAATACTGATTGCATGTTATCTGTACATCAAGACCTAACATAACTACTCTCTGTAGGAAATACCTGATGACGGCAATGGAGGTCAGATCTGCAGGGGTTTGGAGCAATCTGCAGGATTACTCTGTTCAATAAAACCTCCATGTCACACTGCACCATGTCATCTTTTGTACAGACCATGTAAGTTATGGGAAAAAAAATCATCTAAGGAATGCTTTAAAAATACTTCATTGCAACTACTCATGTATCATTTCCACCTTCCAAGTGAAAGTCTAACTACTAAGCACACAAGAGGAGGAGAAAAACTGAAACTAATCAATGTGGAAACCACCTCCATCAATGAGCAAAAATAGGTTTTCTAGGTCAAAAAATGCCATGCTTTTATGCCTAATGACTTAGGCCCCCTCACAAGCTAAGTAAATAATTTGATTCCAATAAGAAGCTGCGAGTCTCACCTCTCCAAGACATAAAAGTCTCATTACCATGCTTGCACGGCTCGGAGACATTGCACTTTGACAACACGGCATTTTTACATATTGACAAGCTGTCACCAGCATTGAGTGTTATCACCCCAGTGGGCTTCAGGCAGGAGGAAACAGGAAATTGTAAAGGGAAAAAGCAGCTTGGAAGGTGAAAGAGAGGTCTCTTATTCAGTTAGGTGATTCCTGTTGGATAACTCAGCAGTTTGGGTTGCCATGATAAGGGATAGGTCTGCCACATGGTGGTACACTCAAATTCAGTTTGAAGCACTTAGAGAAGGGGGTGAGCAGTTGCTACAGGTGCTCTTACACGACATGATTTAGGACTGTCACTATACTAGGTACCTATTAGACTCTTAGTCCCAGTAAATAAGAAATCTTAAATAAGTAACAAACTATCACTACTTATCATCAAACTGACCTACGAGTATGACGACAGACACATAACATGCAAGCATATGTGGCTATTTTTACCTTGGCATGATTATAAATATCCACGCAGTTTTCTGTATTAATGCTTTTTGCGCAAATGATCTCACAGTGTCGTTGTAAAGCTTCAAGCTGGAAAAATTTAGCAGCAGAGAGAAGCTAAAAAAAAAAAAGCAAGGAAAAAAATAGTCAAAACTGCTGAGTGACACAGAATTGGAGCTTGCTTCTTTACTGTTTCATTGTGTTTTTTTCTCTGCCCCTGCTTCAGTTTTCATGGAAGTACTGACAGTCAGAGTGAGAAGGCTGCTTGGTTGCTTCAACCCATTGCAGTCCCCTTAGATCATCACACTGTGGGAAGCTCTACATGGAGAGACCACCGCAGGCTGCTCAGGTCCACGTGCTGACTTTGGGATGGGGGAATGTGGTGCGTGAGAGAGAAACGGAAAGGAGAGAAAAGGAAATGGCAGCTTGGAGAGTCTTTGGTCACTTTGCAAACATGACTCTGCAAGGAGGGATCTGCAATTACAGTCCAGGGAAAAAAGGTTCCGGTTCAACCGTTCCCCAAGCTCTGGCTGAAACAGAGCACCTGGGCTGGATGTGGGGATGTCAGCAGAAGGGCCAGGATCAAGAGTATAGAAGAATTCAAACTAGATGATAATAACCACACTGGACAGTCTTAAAAATCTAGAGAGGCAATAAACCTCAAGTCTGTCACCTCAGCAGGCTCAAGGAACTGGAGTCAGGTCTCCATATATTCCTTGCTCTAGCTCATGACCAGCGGTAAGGTCCTGCCTGGGCCACAGGCACTGAAACATCGTCTGGCTCCACCTGGCTCCAAGGAGTGGGTGCAGAGCGAGATACGGTGCAAAGGTGGGAGCCAGCTTGGTGCGAGGCACTGCCCAGCTAACACTCCTGTTGGCGTCATGCAGCTGCATCGCTGCGCTACCACAGCGCTCCTGTCATCAGGACTCAAGCTGACCTCCCTCTTTGGTGCTGCATCCACCCCATGGATATGGACTGCCGCTGCCTTAGGGATCTCTGCACGCCACTGTGCGCTGTGGGCATGACCTGAAGCCTGTGGGGTGAAAATGGCTTAAATTTTGTGTTCTCCAATTTATTTCAGTAGTGTTAAGATTTCTCCTATTCCACCGTTTCTGTCCTTTTACAGCGGGGAAAGGAATTTCATTTTCTGTCTTTCCATGGTAGGTAATCGTCTCTGGCTCTCTGCTCTGGCTTAGGAAGCACATTGGGATTCTTCATTGCTTGACACTTTGCTCTAGCCCAGCCAGGTCTCTTAGGCCATGGTGTTCAGGTACTTAGGCATTTCTACGGCCCTTATCATCTAGAACTGCATGACAAAAAGCTATCCTGTGAATCCCAGAAGCTCTCATGACGCTAGGTAGGAGCGCTGGGGAGCAAAGCCCTGAAACTTCCATGACATTATTCTGACTTCTCCTATGCAGTCTGCTCAAGCTCTGCTTTAATCCCATAAATAAATCCAAGTGCTGGAAATCTGCAGTGCTGATGTGATAGCAGCCAGCTGGCCCCAATTATGAATTGCAGCAAAGATTTCTGTGGAGTATTTCTGGTGCTTCTTGTTATCATATTTGTAATAAGGCAAGTTGCTAAATGCAGTTTTGAAAGATAAAGCCAAATCCTATTCCAGCTGTCTCTGTGGCTCAAGCAGTCACGTGCTGGTTTGTAATTACTTTAAACTGTGAGGAACCGTGGCCAGATCTGTTATCAACAGATCAATCAATCAGTCATACATTCTTGAGTCACAGAAGTTTTGAGATGTCACGGAAGTAGAGCAAGCAGCCAGCTGAACTGCAGCACAAGCTTTTTAACAGCCTAGGTGATAACACACGCATCCCTATAAAGCCATTGCACTGCCTAGTCTGAGACTCCTTATTTCAGAATCAGTGACCTTTTTCTATAAAGCTCAGAAAGTCAATGTGGGTATGCTTAGTTAAATATACACCACCTGCAGTGGACAGGGATAATTTCAGCCCGGACTAGTACCATCCTCTGGCTGCCAGCAGGGTTGGTACAGATGTCCCTATACCTGTCAGAATTGATTCACCCTGGCTACTCATACCTCAAAGAAGTGTCGCTCCCATTTTCTGATTAGCAGTACTTTGGTAAAAGTCAAGCCTCACGTGGATGCCCCAGACAGTAGTGTCATAAGGACAGACTAACTAATGTAGGTAACAATAACACATCATGGTGGCAGACTATAATCTGTACGCTGATGCTTATCAGCTGTTTAAGTAGCTCTGACTTTAGTATTTACTCTCCTGTATTCTTTTTGGCCGCCACAATTTGGTGACAGGAAAAGTTCCTGAATGACTATCAAGAATTTGCTCAAATATCTCTTAAGTTCTACATAGTTGGAGTCGTTAGGCTGATTGTAGCTGGCAATGACAGCACACAGTATTCGGAAGAGGATGACTTAACATCCATACAGGTTGTGGATGTGTGGCTACACTGATGGCTCAGTCAGCTCCAGTTGGCTTGGTTTGGCTTTTGCAAATGGGCACAATGGCACTGGATGTTTTGTGTCCAGTGAGAAAGGGGCAAAGAAGTCTCTGTATCTCAGGGAGCAGCTTAAGGTTTTATCCAGAAAATGTGACAGTCACATGCTTGAAATTGAACTGAACTGTGACTCCAGTGGGATTTCTCCCATGGTTAAAGCCAGGTATATGTCCAAGAATTCTCCTGAGTGAGGAACCAAACTGGATGCTTTTACACTGCTGAAATAGGTCTGGACATGTAAGCCTGAGCTAATAAACCAAAAGTAAGAGTGTGGCAGAGAGAAGCTGACCGGCCCAGCTGGAGCAGAGCACCTCACCTATCAGGCTGAGAGACAGAGAGGATGGTATACTATGCTGCCGGGAGTTGCTTCCAGATTTTGGTAACACCAGCTTTGCATTTCCTTGAAAGAGCCTCTCAAAGCACCTAACTAGATATTTTTATTTCAGATACTTTTTTTGCTTGATGATCATCATTTGTCTACTCTTTCTTCTCTGACAGTCAACTTCATACTGGCAAAAGTTACCATAACGGGCAACTGCCAGAGAAGGAGACTGAGCGTCTCCCGCAGGACTGTGGACAGCCTGGGCACTCCAGGTGAGGCACTGCTGGCTCTTACAGGAGTGCTCATGTCTTGCCCAATGGCCACATGCCCTTGGGTGAACGGTACACAGATCACTTAGCATTGCTCCCACTGCAATTAAGATAAATGTCTCTTACCTCCATAATTTCATTATTTTTAATCAGGAGTGACTCTGCACCTCCATAATAAAGATACTGCATAACCAGCTGTAACAAAACAAAGGGAGTGTTTATAAAAAGCAATTCAAGACATCAGGGAACAGGGGGTGTTGTAAAGATTGCAGGCAATACCTGACGCTCTCCAGCACCACCAAGGATTTGTAGATAAAACTGGCCCAAACCTCCCAATTTCAAGATATATTTAGTTGCTCTCTCTCTCTGCACAGTTCAGTGTTTCCTTCTCACAGGTAGTCTAACGTCTCAACCCTCACCGGCCACATTGTCCAGACTTTCTGGTTAGCTCCAAACAGTTTGCAGGGAGCTGATTAATTAATTCTGAATTTTCAAGGTATTTCCCAGTATGTTAAGTACCTCATTGATTCAGGATAATATAGCATATATAATGGTTATTCCCTTACTCTTTCCCTGACAATGGAACCCCCACCTTCACCCAGCTGTGTGTGGGCATGCAATGGGTGATGAGAGAAAGAGTGGGGGAGGCTTTGCACTGTAATACAAGCCAGCTAAGATCCCTCTGCAGTGAGCTTCCCACAAGCCTGAAGTTATTGTAGGCAGCTGGGAATTATCTGCAGCGGCAACAGTCGATACGTGGAACTGTCTGAGCTCTGACTCAAATAAAGGGAAGCATACATATCTGTAGCATGTGTACGCTACAGATACAGAAAGCAAGCTCTGTATTTTCATGGCAAAAAATTGCTTGAACAATACTGCTAAGGAAGGGAATGAACTGTGTCTCTTCCAAGCCTGTCCATTAAATACAGAAAGAGCCAACAAGAGAAAAAAGAATCAAGTGCTTTACCTTGACATGCACTGCTTTGCCTGCAAACCCCATATAAGTGAAATGCATACTATTGTATCTGGTCAGGCATGACATTTACAGTCAATAGCACTCTGCAGCTTAGTGTATAAACGAAGATGAAGCCTGTGCTCATGAAACCACTACTCTGAGCTATGTGTTTATCAAATACATACGTACTAATTTGGACAGGGCATGTACGATGTTCCTATTACATGTTCCATTCAAATTCAAGGTGAGAACTGGCTTTACCTGAAAGATGGGGTACTTCACATAGTTGATCTCAATACAAGTACTATCAGATGAGGGCTTGCTAGACAGCAATGCTTTAAACCTAAATAAAAAGGAGCAAGATTGAAATACCAGCCCAATTATCTTTGTGGAAAAGTACAGCAAAGTGGAAGGATGGCATCAGCTCTTGCAAAAACAGTACACTGAAATGAATGGATTTGTCACTGAAAAGCATCAAGATTTAGACACTGACATAAAATAAAGTTCAAACCAAAAGGAAGAAGCCTCTCTTTTAGGAGATTTCAATTTCAAATTTTGGAAAAATACATCTAATGTCACAATAGAATAAAATGTACAAAGGAAATTCACATATTCTAATGATGAATGTTACAAAACCAATTTTTTTTTTTCTTGGAGGCAACATGATCCTTTAGGAAGACTTGCAACATTCAAAAACTGCACACCTTCTTTTTTAAAGGAGATAAATTTTGGCCTATGTCCATTATGATGCTTTAAAAAAAATGTTCTGGAGCACAACATTAAAACAACTACACTAAGACTTTTGATGCTTCTATGCAGGCTCAATACAATTGTGTAAGAAGAGGCAGGAGAGAAAACTGGACAGGTTGCTGTTCTCTGATTATCAAAACCTGAAATTCAGACACAAGTTTCAGGAAAAAAACCACATTTTAAGTTAATAATTGCAGATTTATGTGAGACACATACATAGGTAGCAATCTATTTCTCAAAACTAAATATTCCCATTTGATCAGAAGGTGAAAATGGGAAATGTGCTGCCACAAACATCTGCCCTTGTACTTCCTCTTTTTGATAATTCATTTGACTTTCTAGTGGTAGTGCAAAGCTTGGCTTATCTATCAAGACCAGCATTTGCTGGATGGTGACCTTTTCCATATCATGACTGCATCTTGTTAAATAAAATATGGATAATGATTGATTTGCTTTTACTAGTGTCAAACTCTACTATGAACACAATTTAATAGGTTTAAAGCTGAAGTTTGGAATGTGTTTGTACTTCTACCACGCTCTAAACCAAAATACCCATTCCTTAATTGAAGTCAGGGTCAGACACTGCAGTCGCTTTATGCAAATCTCTTAACTCCGTTCTCTGGGTTGGCAGCATGTCTAGCATCAATTCCCACATTGCTCAAACGACCTAAACTCAGTGGCTTGTCCTTGCCACATCTTGAAATAAGTCCTTATGGAGGGCCAGCTAAATTTGTTTAAAAGCACGCCTTTAATTATAAAGCTGTGTACAACTAAGGTTTGTAAGCAACTTCAAGGTTTGGTTGAGCTGGGTAACCCATGTCCAACCTTCTGAGCACAGGGAACAGACTATAAATACTGTCTTTGGATACAGTATAATATGCTCTGTAGTTATTTAATTCTACTTTAAAAATGTCAAATGCTGTCCATGAACTGTGTGATAGTAGCTTGTTTTTTCTGGAGACTGCCTACACTGATGCGAGGCAGGATCTAGCCACTCACAGGATAAATGATTATTAAGAATCAAAATATTAAGACTTCTCTATGATTAAGAGCTGGGTGCAGCAACGAGCTCCATGCAAATGCGCCTCAGTGGAATGAAGTCAGATGCATGGCCAGAAGCATGGATCATTTACTGGGTGGGAATCTAGTGATGGGAACACTTGTTAAATGTCCTGCAGATCAACCAGAAACAAGCTGTTGAGATGTTCTGCTTAAGAAAAGCTAAGACTGGGCCATTAGTCCTCAAAGAATCTTAACGGTGGGGGGGAGGGGTGGG